ACTTGACCCTACATAATTCATAACACATTGCATCATAATACAATTCAATCTGTTCTTTAATTTGCTTAATATTCTTAGGCTTCTTTCATGTTCTTTAATTCATTTAGCATGCTGAATGCATGTCTAAGAGTGCTTAGAAATGAAAGAGAATGGAAAACAAAGCATAAAGCATCTTTTCAAAATTTCTGAAATAGGGTGGAGCTTTGGTGGCTCGAGCGGACTGCAAAACTTTGTAAAAGCACTGGTTACATGAATTTCACACTCGAGCAAGATTTCTGACGCTCGAGTGGGGAGTTTTGCAAAACAGGGTTCGCTTGAGCGTAGAGTTTGCAACTCGGGCCACTGTGCAAATCGCTGCAAAACTTCTGGGAGCTCAATTTTCACGCTTGAGCGACACTTTCCTCGCTCAAGCGGACAAGTCGAATTCTGAGTTTTCCAAAACTCAGTTTGAAGCTCAAAACTCAATTCCAAAGGCCAATTTCATGCATAACTCACCCAAAACTTCAAAGACATATTTTTGAACATTAATACTTGAAGAATTACATTTCTTATCATGAACTTCATGAATTGGAAAATCATCAATTTAAATTCCCATGCAAGCATGAACTCAACTTAACTCCCACCTATCATCATTAAAATATGGGTTTCAGTTCTATAGCTTCAAAAATCATGCAACCAAATTCCATAGTCCTATAATTCATGGATGCATCTCTAACTTATCCACTAATTTTGCATGTTTAACATGCTACAAGCTCAAATGTACATATTCATGGTAAAAGCTTACATGCATGTCTATACAAACTTCAATTTCATCATATTTAGCTCAATTCTTGTTCTTGGTCACATATCATGCTATAATTCATGTAATTATGGACTTAAACTCAAGAATTTGAGTTCATTTACTTACCTAGGAGCTCTATTCTTCCAATTCCTAGCTAGTTCTTGAGTTATCTTTCTCAATCTTCAAGCTCCTTGCCCAACTCTCAAATTTTGCCTTCACTCTCTCTCTCTAGAGCTGTCTCTCACTCTCTCTCTAGAGTGTAACTTCAATCAAGTATGAAAATGAGCTCAAAAGGATGAGCTTAAGTGTACATAGGCACTTATATAGACTTGCCTAATCAAATTTGATTAAGGCTAATTAACTATGCTTACTTCAATTGATTTAATCCAATTAATTCAGTTCGATTCAATTTTTAATTAAATTTCACCATAGGCTCTAAAAATCGTGCTAATCATAAAAATACAGTCAATTTCAGTTTCTGTCGCCTCTACGGCCTTCAATTGAATTTTTATAGCAGAAAATCAAACACTACAGTGAACAGATACAAAATAACAAACACACATAATCGTATAATTAGCCCTCAAAATCATATCAAGCTCATAATTATAATCATAATTAAGATCAATTAGCATAACACAGAGTTGGGTTGTCTTATTCTTCCCCTTTTTAGGATGTTTGGTCCCCCAAACTTACGTTACCTTCTGTTGGAAACAAATGTGGGTAGTGTTGTCGCATTTCTTCTTCTTTTTTCCTCGTGGCATCCTTACCATAATGTTCTTTCCATTCCATTTTTACCATTGTAATGGATTTGTTCCTCAGCTGCTTTACTTGTCGGTCAATGATCCGTTCTGACCATTCTCTGTACTCCATATTTTCATAAAGTGCTATTCGGTGATAGTTAATCACGTGGAATGGATCTCGGAGATAGATCCTCAACATTGGCACGTGAAACACATTGTGCATTTGTTCCATTCCCGGTGGTAAGGCAACTCTATAAGCAACTGGACCAAGCCTCTCCAAAATTTGAAACGACCCAATGTAAGGAGGTGATAGTTTACCCTTCTTGCCGAACCTTAATTGGCCTTTCATCGAATTTACATGGATGAACACATGATCACTGACTTCATATTCAAGAGGCCTTCTCCAAACATCTGCATAACTCTTTTGTCGGCTCTGAACTGTCTTAAGCCTTTGTTGAATAACTTTGATTTTATCAGTAGTTATTTGTACAAGCTCGGGCCCTATCAAGACGCTATCTCCAACTTCAGTCCAGCATATTGGAGACCTACATTTTCAGCCATACAGAGCTTTATATGGTGCCATGCCAATGCTGGAGTGGAAACTGTTATTATATGCAAGTTCGGCCAATGGTAGGTAAGTCTCCCAACTTCCTTGAAAATTCAAAGCACACATTCGGAGCATATCTTCTAGAGTTTGTATAGTCCGTTCCGATTGTCCATCAGTTTGTGGATGGAATGTTGTACTAAGCCTCAATTCTGTTCCTATTGCTGCTTGAAGACTCTTCCAGAATCTAGATACAAATTTTGGATCTCTATCTGACACAATATACACCGGAACTCTGTGTAAACAAACAATCTCATCAACATAAATAGTAGCTAATCGATATGCATCACATGTAGTTTTTACAGGCAGAAAGTGTGTAGATTTAGTCAGTCTATCAGCTATAACCCAAATGGAATCCATACCTCTAGGTGTCCGAGGTAGGCCAACAACAAAGTCCATCGTTATGTGTTCCCATTTCCATTCCGGAATAGGGAGAGGTTGAAGTAGACCTGCTGGCTTTTGATGTTCAGCCTTAACTTGTTGACACTGAAGACATCTAGACACATATTCATATTTGGCCACCAATAACTCTGCTTTAAGTCCTGATACCTTTTGTTGTTGTTTGGATGCATAGCAAACATCAATTTATGGGCTTTATCAAGAATTCTCCTTTTTAACTCAGGAATATTCAGAACACACAATCTATCTTGGAATTTCAGCATTTCATTTACAACACTATATCCCGGTTTCAGATTTGCTTCACATTCATCAACTATCTTTTTAAGGAATTCATCATCCTTTTGTTTCTGTTTGATCTCACCGATGATTGCTGGTTCGGTTAAAATGGCGGCCATCAATCTGCGTTGCTCATGTAATATCACTTCAATCCTGGATTTCTCAAAATCCTGCAAGATTTCTTTCTGTTCAGTAAGTAGGCAAGCTAAACTCGCCATCGATTTTCTGCTCAAGGCATCAACAACTGTATTGGCTTTCCCGGGGTGATATTGAATATGAAGATCATAATCTTTTATTAGTTTAAGCCATCTTCTTTGCCGCATATTCAGCTCTTTCTAAGTAAAGAAGTACTTCAAACTTTTGTGATCCGTGTAGATCTCGCATTTCGCCCCATACAAGTAATGCCGCCAAATTTTCAAAGCAAAAACAACTGCAGCCAATTCTAGGTCATGTGTTGGGTAGTTTTTCTCATGTGGTCTTAATTGTCGAGAGGCATAAGCAATTACCCATCATTCCTGCATTAATACACAACCCAAGCCTTTATAAGATGCATCACTATAAATCACAAAGTTTTCCGTACCTATGGGCAATGTTAACACTGGTGCAATAGTCAATCTTGTTTTTAGTTCTAAGAAGGCAAATTCTCTTTCATCATTCCATTTAAATGGTTGTCCTTTGCCTGTCAGTTGGGTAAGAGGTACAACTATTTTTGAAAAATCCTTTACAAATCTTTTGTAGTACCCAGCTAAGCCCATGAAACTGCGGACTTCTGTTACATTTGTTGGTATGGGCCAATTTATAATTGCCTCTATCTTCTGTGGGTCTGACGAAATCCCATCTCTGATGATGATGTGCCCTAAGAAGACAACCCCATCCAACCAAAATTCATATTTCTTCAGTTTAGCAAATAATTTCTTTTCTCTAAGTGTTTGCAAAACGGTTTTCAAATGTTGTTCATGTTCAAGTCTACCCTTTGAATATATTAGGATATCATCAATAAAAACCACAACAAATTCATCAAGGTAAGGCTTAAAAGTTCGATTCATAAGATCCATAAATGTTGCAGGGGCGTTAGTCACTCCAAACAGCATAATAAGGAATTCATAGTGACCATACCTCGTTCTGAATGCGGTTTTCTCAATATCTTCTGCCTTTACCTTCAACTGGTGGTACCCGGATCTCAAATCAATTTTAGAAAAATACTTGTAAGCCCTGTAATTGATCAAACAAGTCGTTCATACGGGGTAAAAGGGTATTTATTCTTTATTGTTACCTTGTTTAGTTCTTGGTAGTCAATACACAGGTGTAAAGTCCCATCTTTCTTTTTCATAAATAATACCGGTGCGCCACATGGTGAAGTTCTTGGTCGGATAAACCCTTTGTCAAGTAGGTCTTATAATTGTTCTTTTAGTTCTTTTATTTCAGCTCTGTAGGGGGTCTTTGAGATAGGCTGGGTGCTTGGGACAACATCAATGGTAAACTCTATTTCTCTGTCAATCAATCCCCCTGGCAATTCATCAGGAAATACATCTGGAAATTCTCTAATAACGGACATACTATTCATTTCAACACTCACAGTTTGTTCAGTCAAGATACTACATAAATAACCCTAGCACCATTTTCCAAGCAGTTTACATGCTTTCATTATAGAAATCAGATAAGGTGGAGGCACTACCCCATTACCCACAAATTCAAATTCAACATGGCCTGGTGGTTTAAACACAACCTATTTTGTCACACAACTGATAGTGGCACAATATTTCAATAGCCAATCCATACCCAGAATTATGTCAAAGTGCCGAATGTCTAAGGGTAACAAATCCACATATAAGATAGTATTGCCAATGCGCATATCACAAACACGGTACACAAATGTACATAATACAGATTCCCCAAATGGAGCAGATACACATAGCAAATATGGCAATGATTCTAGGGGTCTAGTCAATCTAGATGCAAATATAATAGACACAAAGGAATGTGTTTAGCCGGAATCAATTAACACAAAAGCATCTTGATTGCATATAGAGATAGTACCTGAGACGACAGCTTCAGTATTCCGTGTGTCACCTGGGACAAGTGTAAAGACTCTCCCTTGTCTTAATGTGTCTCTGGTGGCAGTAGGCCTCATAGTATGACCCGATTTTGGGATGGATCTAGTCGAATTAACAGCTGGTTTCCCATCTTTTTGTTATTCAGTTCAGGTGTAATCCCTTGCCATATGCCCCATTTCACTGCATCTATTGCATGCCCCAGAAATACGATAACAAACCCCGCGATGCTTCTTACCACATTGAGTACATGTTGGTGCCGTATTTCTAATGGAGCGCAAAGTGCTTGAGGACCCCGTGTTTTGTTTCTTTGATGATTTCTTCCCCGAGAAAAAGTCTTGCCTCTTAGCCTTCCAGTCATTTGGTGGCTTACATTGGTTGGCCATGTTAGTTTCTGACATCAAAGCTCGATTTAGCACATCAACATAAGTGGGCAATTTTAACACATTCACCCTTTCCAAGATGTCATTACGAAGACCATTTTCAAACTTTCTCACCTTTTTGTAGTCAGTGTCGACCATATGTGGAGCGAATCTAGCCAATTCAGTGAACTTGGTCTCATACTCAGCTACAGTCATATTGCCTTGCTTCAATCCTTCAAATTCCGACACCTTTCTATCACGGACACACTGTAGGAAATATTTCTCATAAAAGAGTGCAAGAAACTGTATCCAGCTAATACCCTTGTTATTATCATGGATTAGCATCCACCACCTCCTTACTTTATCTTCCAATGTACAGGTGGCCAATTGTACTTTCCGTGTCTCAAGGCATAGGAACACTTCGAATAACTTCTCAATACCACGGACCCAAGCTTCAGCCTTCAGTGGGTCCACACCTCCGTGGAACAGCGGTGGCTTCATTTTCTTGAATTCTTTAGTAAGGGCTATTGTTCGGTCATTATTTTGCAAATCCGACATGGGTTGCACTGGAGGTGGGGGTTGCGGGTGTTGCCATTGATGTTGCCACCGTTATTGTTACCTTAGTGTTTCTGCCATATCTTGCATCATTCTCTCCATTCGGTCTAGCAGAGTAGTGGAGGATTCTTTTAGCTCTTCGGCTCTTGTCCTCACCATTATCTATTGAGACTTGCATTATAATTCATACAAAAGATATGTACAATATTCATGTACAAAAAGTACATTCATACAACTAGGCAATAGTTATATATCATATAATTGCATACTTCAATCCACTTAGCAAGTTCTCAATGCATTTCACACATACATTTATCATATGAATGCAACTTATGTCTTTTCTAGACACTCTATCGCTTATTTAGACAAGTGTATGAGTTATTACTCATGCTCTAATACCACTCTGTCACGACCCAAAATCGCCCCTATGGATTAGAGTCATAACCGGCCAGTAATCATGAGATTACTTACAGCCTTAGTCAGAAATCAAATCATATATAACAATAAAGGGCCAAGCCACGGAAGTAAAACTTACAAAAATTGTCCAACGAGCTGTGCATACATAATTTAACCAAAAACTTTCTCATATACGTAATAACTCACAATACAAAAATATCCATATTCTGTATTACATAAGTCCAGGATCATTTAGTAGTCAGTATTTAACAGAATTCAAAACCAAGGTTATACAAGTTCGATCATACGTGATCACAAAAGAACAAAAGATAGGTAAAACAAAAGTAAGGCCTCTTGCAATGAGGCAACCTTGGTTAACCTCTCAAATCTTGGTTTCTTATTGCTTACTGGGGCTGGGGTTGGACGTCCCGCTGCTCACCTACATACACATAAATAAAGAGTGAGCTAACGCCCAGTGAATAATACCAAAGTAAAGGAGTTCATGAATGAGATTCAATTAATCATAAGTTACAAACCAAACTTGTTGGTCAATACCAACACAAAACGACCTTAGGTCCAATACATCATATATTATATCCATATTCATATACCAAACGACCCTTGGTCCATTACATGCAAAACGACCCTCGGTCCGATATATGCAAAACGACCTTGGGTCCACCATGTGTAAAACAACCTTGGATCTAATTTGCACATAGAATGACTTTAGGTTCAACTAATCCATATTCACATTTGTGCACACTTATGATCCACGATCATGTTCACATTTACCTTCACATTCAAAACGACCTTAGGTCCAATCATTTCCTTATTCGGAACGACCTCCGGCCCATTCGATGGCCTTTGGCCCATTCAATAGTTACACAAAACAGCCTAAGGCCCATTTAACAGTTATATAAAATGGCTCCTTTTCAAGTAAACTGAACGGCCTTGGGCCCATTTCGTACTCATGTATCTTTCACTTCACATATATCAGTGCGAACCAAGTAGATAGATCATTCATTCACAGTATCAAATCAGAAGCTTAGAAACTTACCACATAGGTAACATTTAGAAAATAATATATACACAAATTATCTTTACTAAGATATTACTTATTGTGTTCCGGTGTTTAATTCGTCCTTGCACTTGACCCTAAATAATTCATAACACATTGGGTCATAATACAATTCAATCCATTCTTAATTTGCTTAATATTCTTAGGCTTCTTTCATGTTCTTTAATTCATTTAGCATGCTCAATGCATGTGTAAGAGTGCTTAGAAATGAAAGAGAACAAAAAACGAAGCATAAAGCATCTTTTCAAAATTTCTGAAATAGGGCTCTACGCTCGAGCGGACTGCAAAACTCTATAAAAGCATCGGTTACATGAATTTCATGCTCGAGCGAGATTTCTAACGCTAGAGCGGGGACTCTTGCAAAACAAGGTTCACTCGAGCGTAGAGTTTGCCGTTCGAGCCACTGTGCAAACCTTTACAAAACTTCTGGAAGCTCGACTTTCACGCTTGAGCGACACTTTCCTCGCTCGAGCAGACAAGTCGAATTCTGGGTTTTCCAAAACTCTGTTTGAAGGTCAAAACTCAATTCCAAAGGCCAATTTCATGCATAACTCACCCAAAACTTCAAAGACATATATTTGAACATTAATACTTGAAAAATTACATTTCTTATACATGAACTTCATGAATTGGCAAATCATCATTTTAAATTCCCATGCAACCATGAACTAAACTTAACTCCCATCTATCATCATTAAAATATGCGTTTGAGTTCTATAGCTTCAATAATATGCAACCAAGTTCCATAGTCCTATAATTCATGGATGCATGTCTAACTTATCCACTAATTCTGCATGTTTAACATGCTACAAGCTCAAATGTACATATTCATAGTAAAAGCTTACATGCATGTCTATACAAACTTCAATTTCATTATATTTAGCTCAATTCTTGTTCTTGGTCACATATCATGCTAGAATTCATGTAATTATGGACTTAAACTTAAGAATTTGAGTTCATTTACTTGCTTAAGAGCTCTAATCTTCCAATTCCTAGCTAGTTCTTGAGTTATCTTTCTCAATCTTCAAGCTTTTTGCCCAACTCTCAAATTTTGCCTTCACTCTCTCTCTAGAGTGTAACTTCATCCAAGTATGAAAATGAGCTCAAAAGGATGAGCTGTACATAGGCCCTTGTATAGACTTGCCTAATCAAACTTGATTAAGTCTAATTAACTATGCTTACTTCAATTGATTTAATCCAATTAATTCAATTCGATTCAATTTTTAATTAAATTTCACCATAGGCTCTTAAAATTGCGCTAATCATAAAAATTCAATCAATTTCAATTTGTGTTGCCTCTACGGCCTTCAATTGAATTTTTGTAGCCGAAAATCAAGCAGATTTTCCTACAGTGAACAGATACAAAATGACAAACACACATAATCATATAATTAGCACTCAAAATCATATCAAGCTCATAATTATAATCATAATTAAGATTAATTAGCATAACACAAAGTTGGGTTGTCACAAAATTATTGTGTTGGACATTAAGGGAATTGATCAAATTATGTTATTTGATTATTATTTATATTTGATTGTGGATTTTGAGACCTTAGTTCCTTTTATTTGATTACTTTATCAATTCTAGCTTTATCTTTGTCATTGTGTTGCATTAGTAGAATTTAGAATCAAAAATTTCAGATTTGTTAACTAGGTTAAGGTAATTTAAATTTCAAAATAATTAATTTTCACAAGTCCCTGTGGGTTCGACCTTGCATTCATTTGCCTATACTATTATACGGTTTGTGCGCTTGCAAGTAAATTTAAAATTTCACAACACTAACCTCTTTATATTAATGTTATTCACTGGGCTTTAGTTCACTGTGTGTACATATATATGTATAGGTGAGCGTTTTGGAGATTTGGCCTAAAGACTTTTGTTTGGATCTGTGTTCTGTTGTCAGCCAGCCATTGTGCCTCACGTAGAAGTTCCTAAAGTGTCACATGTTATAAGATCTAGTTATTTCTGTATGTAAGACTTTGTTTAGTTTTGTTAGCTATACTCAAGATGCTATAGTTAAGTGTGTAGGTGTAACGCGAGAATGATTTTTGGGATATGTATGTAAATTTTTAAATATTCTGTTTCATATAAGTCAACACAACTCATTGGACGATTATATTTATGTGTTTACTTCCGTTAGCCCCTTAATTTTGTTTAATCTGTTTAGAGGCTTTCGGTAATCTCAAGATTACTGGCCGGCTACAATGCTAAACCTATAGGGGTGGGTTTGGGTCATGACAGAGTGGTATCAAAACACGTGTTATATCGCACACATAAGTCCATATGAGCTATAGGATGTCCTAGAAAAGCAATAGGGACATGGCATTATCTTGTGTGAGTGTGTGTAAATTTTTCTGTGCATGTTTGATAAGAAAATGAAAATGAAACCTATGAGTATGAACAAAGAAGTTATGTGGAATAACATGTCATGTTGATTTCGATATTGAATGTGTAAGTCATGTGAACATGAATATATGAACGTGAAAGTTATATGACTTATGTGAACATATCTGAACCGAAATGAAAAATGAAATCACTGAGAACTTTTCCTATGTTAATAATTACCCTGTTTATGTATAGACAAATGGACAAGTAACGTGGACGAATCTGAATCTTCTGATGCTAGAATTAACCGTTTAGAAAGAATGGTTGAAGCTGTAGACACCCTATTTTTGACCATCCTTAAGACTTGGGCGCTACTGATGGTTTACTTAGTGGTGAAAGTTATGCAGTGCAAGAGTTCAATTTCTTCGGCAAGAAGAGAGAGTCAAATTCCAACCTCATACCCCTTTTGGACCAAAACTATTTTGAATAAATGATTTTGAGACCTTAAAACCCTCTCTTTCAAAATATTTTTGAAAATAAGTTCCTACGATGTTTCGAGGCTCGCATTTCATTAAATGTTGCGCTTTTCGATAAACCGAGCAAGGACAAAGTGAAAATGAATGAAAAAAAGATGAAATCTTTGAAAAATCTTTCAAAACACTTTTTTTAGGGGTTTGGAGTTGAAGAAAAGAGGAGAGGAGAGAAGAAAACTAGTTTCGGAGAAGTTCGGCATGAAGCCGGGAAGGATCAAAACTGAGCGGCTTCACCAAAACAGGCATAACTTTTTTCATAGTTGGAATTTTGATTCAAGTTTTCCACCATTGGAAATCTTACTTCCGGGGCTTCAATTTGGACACAAGAATGACCTGAAAAGGAGTCTATATGAAGGATATATGTCCATTTGAAGTTTGACTTGCAGAGCAGATTTTTGCTGTCGGCCAGAAAAGTAGTTGGCCGGCCAGTTAAAGTAGCCTGCCGGCCACTTTTTCAAAAAATTCATTTTTTTTGCAGATCTTTTCCCTCCAGCTATTGTGCATTGCTCCAGATATTTCCAAAGTCAGATATTTCGACCAAAGCTCTATTCTTGCTATATATGGAGCCATATCACACATATTGAAGGGAGAGAACATTTTGAGCAATTGTGGGAGCTTCTCACACTAAAATCTCTCTCTCTCTATCTCTACAAATTTCAGAGCTGAA